TTCATCCATTCATCAAACTATCCATCAACCCATCCATCCAACCACCCATCCATCCATCCATCCATCCATCCATCCATCCATCCATCCATCCACCCATCCATCCATCCATTCATCCATCCACCCATCCATCCACCCATCCACCCATCCATCCATCCATCCATCCACCCATCCATCCATCCACCCATCCATCCATCCATCCATCCACCCATCCGTCCATCCATCCACCCGTCTATCCATTCACCCGTCTATCCATTCATTCATCCATTCATTCATTCAGTCGATCCACTGACTTGCGAACTTGAGACCGATCTGGTCGTTCATGACTCCGAAGAAGTCCTGTAACTTCACAATCGACTGGTACTCCACATGCATACCCTTCTCATTCAGAATCTTCTTTATGGCTGTCGGTGAGGGTGATGATGGAGGGGGTGCTGACGATGATGGTGATGATGATGAAAATAATGATAAAAATGATGATGACGACGACGATGATGAATATGATAGTTATGATGATGATGATAGTGGTGGTGGAGGGAATTTCATCCTTATAGCAGCATCTCCGTAAGGTGCTTTTAACACTTGACAACTCAGTTAATCTAATTCTAATCTTATCTCTGCTACTACTACTACTACTACCACTACTACTACTACTACTACTACTACTACTACTACCACTACTACTACTACTACTACTACTACTACTACTACTACTACTACTACTACTACTACTACTGCTACTACTACTACTACTACTACTACTACTACTACTACTACTACTACTACTACTACTACTACTACTACTACTACTACTACTACTACTACTACTACTACTACTACTACTGCTACTACTACTACTACTACTACTACTACTACTACTACTACTACTACTACTACTACTACTACTACTACTGCTACTACTACTACTACTACTACTACTACTACTACTACTACTACTACTACTACTACTACTGCTACTACTACTACTACTACTACTACTACTACTATCATTACTACTACTACTACTACTATTACTACTACTACTATTACTGCTACCAATGATATTAAACAAATATTAATAATGATAATAAAAATCATAAAACTAGCTATACCAATGATGATTATGACGATGATGATGACGATGATGATAACGATTTGTTATTATTATTATTATTATTATTATAATTATTATTATTTTTCATGGCAATGAATAGTTATTTTCAAAATTATTCAAAATTATTTTTGAAAATTATTCCCCAAAAAAAATATATTTTCAAAAGTAATAATATAATTTCGGCAGGGCACCTCCAGAGGCTAAGTAGCAGTGCTTCTCTGAGATGCTATCTCTACCAGCTGGCTCTATGATCAGGTAAACCTTCAGTAGAAAAATTATGAATTCTAGTCGATTAATTATAGTTAATTGTAATTAATTATAGTTAATTATAACTAATTATGGTTAGTTATGGTTAATTATAAGTAATTATGGTTGGCTATAGTTGATTATGATTGATTGATTGATTATTGCAGTTAAAATGTTCATAAAAAATTAATTTTTCTTTCTTTCTTTTGCCAACAATCCCACACACACACACACTCACACACGCACACACACACACACAAACAAACAAACACACGCGCACACACACACACACACACAAACACACGCACATAAACACACACTGCTTGTGATTGGCTGGAAACTGTTTGCATACGAACCCGCTAACTGCAACATCAGAACCAAGTGCCTTAACCATTACACCACCCCAACATGGTGTAACATATATGTGCCAAATTAATTTTTGAAATGTTTAAGAAAATTATCATGAAAAAAGTTTTTTGGTTTTTGTTTTTAAAATAAAATTTTGCCGAATGTTATTTTTCTAATTTACGTTCTTCGGATATGAAGTACCATCGTTTGCTTTTCCGGCTCATAAAATTTTCAAGGGTTTCGAATTTTCAAAATTATTAAAACTTTAAAAGTTATCATGCAAACGTGCATAACAAAATATATATAATAAAAACAAAATAGGCGAAATGTTCGTGTGTTGAAAAATTAAATAAAAACCCCAAAATAATTTAGAAAAAATTCATTGAAACCAGTTTGAATTAAAAAAAATTGCACCATTAAAAAAATGAATAAATTCTTTTGTGGTATCAAAACAATTTTGCATAAATGTCAAAATCGCTCACAAATAACCATAAATAATCATAATTAACTTCAAATACATTGTCAAAACAGCTACGAATTCACGGCAAAACCATTTAGAGTAGGAAAGAGCCAATTTTTTGCTGTGAAGGCCGCATATGTACTTAAATAGCAAATTTTTTCGATCCAGGGGAGAATATCTTAAGAGATTTGTGGTTCCTTTTTTGATCATAATGTCTGACTGGCAAACTTTTTTTAAGAACAAGGCCGCAGTTTGCCCACCCCTGGCTTAGAGCGTTTTAAGCAGCAGAAACCGGGTTCGAAAGCAAAGAGATCCCACACGTCTGACATGCACGTTTCTTCATGCACACGTCGTCTGCTGTTGAGATGTTGAAGATGATAATAATTCTGGAAGAAACTTTGAGGCTAATAATTAGGTGCTACATAAATTGAAGGTTTATCACCATCGTCATATTTTCAATATGGGATCCACATTGGCATCAATATACAACGTATTATACAAAACCATTCATCATGTGTGCTAAATCACTTTTCGTTCAACACTGTTTAAATTATGTTTCTGTGAATATTTATGGCTGGTTTGAGTGTTATGCAAAATTATTTCGACACCCCAGACAGATTTAATCAGTTTTTTTTGTATGTTATAATTTTGTTTTGTTTCAAACATCGGTTTGAATGAATTTTTATAAAAAAAAGCTCTTCATCAAAATCCCAACCCGTCTCCACTCATTGCTTTGAGCAATTTTCCAGAGGGCAAGCCCCAGAGTGTTGAAGGTCAGCCCCGTCCGGGTCACCATTTGGTACAAGTCCCACTTCGACTCTCCGATTTCCATCGTAAAACCCCCTGCTGTTATCAGAGGGATGTTCCAGTATCTGGCCTGTCTGTGTGTGTGTGTGTGTGAGTGGTTTAGTTTGTGTGTGTGTGGATGTGTGTGTGTGTGTGGTTTTGTGTGTGTGTGTGCGACTTTTTGTGGGTATGTCTGTGGAGATGTTTGTAGGTTTTCATTTGTATGTGTTTTTGTATGTATGTGTATGTCTGTGTGAACGCATGCGCGGTTTTGTGTGTTTGTGTTTTTATGCGTGTGTGTTTGTATGTGTGCCTATGAGCGCATGTGAAGCAGACAATACAATTTTCATAACGTAAACACATTCAATTTTTCGTTGCAAAAACATTCAAATAGTCGCTCATCTCAACAGAATTGGAAAGAAGGTTTTTTTTTCACGTTCCAGTGCCACTGAATATGCATTAGGACGAGGAGAGGAATAAGTTCAAGTCGTTTCATCTCAGAAACATCAGAAGCCCGTCTCTAAAACTGAACATCAGTCACCGAGAAGAAACATCAAACTGCTAATCTGATGTGCATATTCAATAGAGGATTATTTGTGTGTGCGTTCTTTTGTGTGTGAGTGTGTGAGTGTGTGTTGTGTGTGTGTGTGAGTGTGTGTTGTGTGTGTATCTTTAATTTTTATTC